AGAAAAAACCACAAACCAGAAAAAACACAACACTAGGGAAGTCTTTAGGCACAGAACAGCTTAGCTTTTCATTTCAATAATCCAAGGCAGCAGCTGCCAATGCTGTTTATATTTGTTACACTTCAAAACCTGATACAAGAACGAGTACAAGAACTACTGACACCCAAAATACTCTTAGATCTACAGCTCACCTTTCATCCCAGGTATTATAGAGCAGAATCTTTTTTCCCCATTGACCATAAAAACAGTAATTAATGAAGTGGACAGGAAATAAGTCATTTAGTACATTGTGGGTACGATGCATGGGTATAAATCATTCTGAACAAAAAAAAGTTAAAAAGCAGGAGTGAAAGACAAACATATTCCACCAAGATAGGCTGAAAACCATGAACTACTCTTGAATTATTCATTTCAAAAAGCTGCATGTGAGTTTGACCTAGAGCACAATAAACCTCCTATCCAGTAACTTCAAGAAAATATTAAAGCAGATAACTTTGTTTAAGTTTGCCAGTCTTTAAATAAATTTGAAAATTTATCTCAGAGGAAAACACAAAATGTTATTTCAAAAGTTTCAGTCTGTTTCAATATTAGGTAGAATTTTATCAATAAACCAGCACCACAAAAAACAACTTAAAAGTTCACTGAGGCCACGTTTCACTTGAAAACATTCTGTAATAAGCAGAATATGAAACAAACAATGCACTGGGCAGTGTCAAGCTAACTGATAGTAAGGACTGCAACCAGAGGGATCACACTAGGGAATTAATTATCAATATGAAAAGTCCTCAGAGCCCACTAACTTCTCCCTTCTCTGACCAGGAACCCTGGCATGGCTGACTATGGGCAATGCTACAAACACAGCTACACCGTGCCAAGTCCTGAGTGGGTACGTGCAGGTGAGACTTACAGGAATGTGTAATATCCACTAGTGACTCTGTACAATTCAGATACCCTCTTCAGAATGTAACTCCAAATTAAAACAGAGCATTTAGGTCAATTGAATCCATCTGCATACCAGGTGCTTTTAAAAACAAATCTTATTTTTCTTAAGATGCTATCTAAGTGATAATTATAAAAAACCCAATAATGGTCTTTTCTTAAATTAATCCCACTCAGTTACTGTTTTGGTGGGGTTTTTTAATTAGTCATTTGATGATGAAATTACCTCTTCTTTGGAAAGCATTTTGCATTCCCAAATTAACTTAAGAGGCAGGATTTTGCAGCTTCTAACTTCTCCTGTCTTTAAGAATTCCTCTATTATCTTCTATTCTCCTACCCCCACTTCTCCCATTTCCACTGAAGAACTTTTGGCAGTATCATTCAAATGGATACCATCTGCAATTAGGTATGATCTGAGCAGCACGAGCCTTCTGCCAAAATACCAGCCCCGTAATGCAGCCAGCACATGTGACTTCAGCTGGACTGCAGAATTTCATTTTTGCAAAATATATTTTAAAAACATGAAGACTGACAATTCTTGAAGTGTGAGGTACTGTGTTACTGCAGCTCAATACCCTGGTGACCATAAAGGGGAACAAAAAAAATTACTCATCATCTTAGCAGTACCCTATGCAAAAAAAAAAAAAAAGTTCCAAGTACTGATCTCAAAATTCCTGTATTTTTCATCTTTCCAACAGGAAAACAGAAGTCACAACTACTCACAGTAATTGCTCTTAACATTGTTGATTTAAGACTTCTGTAAGAACTCTCTTTTTCTGAAATTAAGACACATACAGAACTGTATTCAGCTACATTGTCATTTTTTAAATACTGAGAAATTATAAAGATGGAGATCTACTATGGATCTTGATTAAAGGCTTTGATCTTCTATGAGGAAATGACATAAAAGCCAGATAGGATAACAAGTTAATTCTGTAGGAGACCTCAAATACACAACAAAATTACATTTGTTTTGCTTCTAATGCAAAGTTAAACTGTGCAACAAAATTGAGAATAAGCTTCTAACCCGGGAGGATGTTCTGTTTTGCTGGCAAACTCACCGTGAATAACAGGCACTCCCAAAAGCTGTAAACAGCCAAATTCACACAAGAACTGACAAACAAAAGCAGGGTGTCAGGCAACAACCCTGGTGGCATTTCAACTTCCAAGAGTATACTTCATTATGGATGTCAGAAAACACTTATTTTTTCATACATTCATTTAAAAAACATAAATGGAGTATACTGGTGATATTCTTTATTATCTATCTCTCTACACTGTTTTTCTAAAATAATCCTAAGTACTTTGCCTCATTTTCACTACGATTTAGTCTCTGCCTGTATCAGCCAACACATTTAAAAACTCAGACTTTGACAAAGTTTAAACTCAGGACCCATAAAGGATTTGTAAAACAGCACGGCCAATCAATACATAAAGAATTAAAGTCCAAAATCAGTCAAAATCCCTTCTTGGCCACCTTGCCAATCCTGTTCATCATAATAGTCCATTAGGCTTCAATTCTGAGATAAGGGAACTTTAACTGTCTTGGAGGCTTAAAATAGTCACTACTCAACATATCACCAGCCTCTCAGATTTGTCTCCTGTCAACTTGATCACTGCACAAATGAAAAAATAACCTTCTCAGAGGCAAGATATCTAAGCCTTGACTATTTCACCAACACATTTGAAGGTATGAAGCAGGAACTTCATAGGCTAGAATTACTACTGAATTTGCTTTATTTTTAAATTGCTGTATCAGATGCGAGTCAGATATGTTAATGTTACTTTCTGTAATCACCTTTTAGCCAACAAATTCAGACCTTAATAATAAGGAGTTAAATAATGTAATTGTGAGACTGCAAAGAATGAGAGACCATAATAAAGAAAGAATCCTTGGCAGAAATAGCAACAGTACTTATGTCCCCAAATCAAACACGTAGCCTAAAAGCATACCAGAAGAATTTCAGCTTGAAGTTATGTGCTTGGGACAACTTCGTTAAGATTCTTTGAAGAAAATATTTCTGCTCAGGTTTTTTCCCCACCAAACAATGTCTTTGTCATATTTTTATTACATGAACCTCTTCTGTTCAACAAGTAAAATTACTCCTCTGTCTTATTGCTTTCTTCTGTATTCTCCCCTAACAGGGAAATACAGGGAAAAAATAGCCCACTGACTGTAAGAACGTGTAACTATTGCAACTGATGATTCCTTTCCTACATTCTGCAATGGCCCCTGATGACTTAAACCTGACCATCTGTCCTATCACCTATCTTGTATCAGAGCCATAGGACTCAAATAGAAGGCAACAGATTAAAGCATTTCCAGAGCACAAAATACAGTTTCTTGAAAATGTGTCTTCTTAGCACAGCTCTAACATTCAGAAACAGAATCAGTGCCTTTTGTCTACACCACATTTCAAACTTAAGACAGATTGCTGAAGATTCACGGGTCACTCCTGTCATTGTGCCACCAACAAGCTGTTTCCACAGGCTGCTGGAGTTCAAAAATCTTAAGCATTTACAATTACTATTGTCAGGTCACAACAGCAGCAAGAAAACCTATGACAGTAGCACCCAGTGGTGCTGTTGTACTTCAGAACTTGGTGGTGTTTCCATAACAAATGCCATCTAATTGAGTCTACAGTTCATAGAATCATAGAATGGTTTGGGTTGGAAGGGACAGATCATCCAGTCCCACCCCCCCTGCCATCAGCAGGGACACCTTCCACTAGACCAGGCTGCTCAAAGCCTCATCCAGCCTGGCCTTCAACACTTCCAGGGAGGGGGTATCCATAACACCAGAGTTCTTCCATTCCACACTGGTTTGGCATTAAAGTTGGCAGATAACATTGGGATACAAGGATCTGTTTCTTCATAGATTACTTCTAAACATTTCCCCCTGCTTCATTTTACATGGAAATTCTGAGGCCCCCCCCAAAAAAAAAGTTTCTTTAGGCAATATTCCATATAAGGTCTGAAAATAAGAATTTACTGCACTGAAAAGCAAGCTCTCTTCTGTATGATGCCTCTCTTTCAGTGAAACCATAAACATTGTATTTAATTTAAGTGACCACAACCAGGACCTAAATTCCATTGTAGAAGCAGGTTGAAGTGCAACCTCAGCTAAAAAAAAAGGGAGGAGCCTGTATGCAACCTCCTTTGTATTAGCAAGCATGAGTAAATACTCAAGTAATCAGACAGCCAAGTAACCCAGAGCTCTTGGAGTATTACTTCCTACAGCTACAGACAAGACGACTCTACTTGATTACCTAACCATGAAAAACTGCCACAAAAAGACACTCTATAGGTGTAGCCATTAGTCTGCGCCTGACAAACAACACTGTAGCAAACAGTATCAATACTGCCTTGACTTTAAGCAGCATGTAAAAGAATAAAAATTATTTTCAATCAATAAATGGTGTGCCCATATCCAGTTTCCCACAGAAGAGTCTTCTCATCCAAATTAAACCCACAATAATTCAGAACCCTAACACTTCTAATTGGTTAGAAAATAAGATGATTCCATGTAGTCTGTTATTTTGCTGTCATTTAGACATTCAATCTGGAAAGCATAAAACTTGACATCCTTTTCCCCTCAGCTTTCTCACTCTCAGCTCCTCAACAAAAGACACAGACTACAGAATAAGCACACCAAGAACTAAAGCACCAGACCCAAGCAGGAGCTATGCCACAACAATTACCATGTGGTGGTCTGCAACATATCCCTGTACCTGCTGGTTCACATGATGTTCCCACACACTGAAGTTAAGAAGGTTTTCACTTTTGTATTCTCATCTTCTTATAGAATTCTCAACCCACCACAAGAAAACAACATAGACAACTGCATCAAAATCAACATACTCATGATTTAGCCTTTATAGCTAAATTCAGACACAATCCAATTTGTAATGACAGCCTCAGAAGAGAAGATTCCCTAAAAGAGTAACTTGAGAAGATATAACCGATACACAGTGCTCAGTTCAGTCTGGCAAAAAGATGATGATGAAGCAGGAAGGGAGAGGAGAGAGAAAGACACCCTTACAAGATTAAAATAAACTTACTGGTTGAATTGCCTTGCATCTGGATGATACATTTGGATTCTTTGCTGGTTTCTCGGGAATTGAAGGGCCGGACCCGAACAGCCACTTTCACTGAAGCCCCCGACATTCTGCTTGCTTGTAGTGCAGTCAAGAAATTGAAAGTGAAGGGGTCAAGAGTGTTTCAAGTTATCCTCCTTGTCAGTGTTTTCTAAAGAGAAAAATATAATTTAGTTATTTACAGCTATTGCATTCAAGATGTTGATAAAGTTAGGGAGGTTCAAAGTTGTTTGATAACTTCAATTTCTGATCTGCAATCACCCCCCTCTCCAAAAGCTGTCACTTCAACGGCAGAACAGGAAATACATATAAGAGCACCTGTACTCTGTCTCCCTAGTCAAAAGTTTCTGTCACCTGAAGCAATTCTTTTGAAGCATACAGACTTGCTTCCATTACTTGGTTTTCTTCCCAGAAAGCAGGGACCCCAATACCCAAATGAAGATTTGGTTATAAGTTGGGCTTAACCTAACAAAGATAATTTTAGCAGTAAAGACACAGCTACCTGGATTTCAGCATGAGTTAGCTACCGTATACTGCACACCCTGCTTCTCTAGCTGTCAACCCTTGCTATCACAATGTATTAGCAATAATATTAAAGCTAACACAAGTGTGATGGGCCACATCACACTGACTTTCAATAGACACCATTCCAGAGAAAAGGGTGTACCAAACAACCTTAAAGAGCCCTTTGCAGTCCTGGGAAAGTCCTCTTCTCAAAGGAAATAAAAACTCATTAACTACTTGTATATCTAGTGATTAAAGGACACACTACTTTGTAAGGAAGAAGAGGCATCAAAAATTATTGCCTTCAGGGTAAATATTACTATCTATCTTCAAGCAAATGTTCACCAGTCAATTCACCTTCATTGTCAAAATACTTGCTCAAATCCTACCACATTCAAACACTTTAATGGGCAGGAAACTACCCACAATACCCACAATCCAAACTTCAAGGCACATCCAAGATAGTATTGAAATGTAGGGTTAATAAAGATTGGTTCAATTTTATTCCCTGTGACCAACCTTTTCCATTAGAAGAAAGTTTTTCAGTCAATCTACAGTTAAGGAGTTTAACTCACTGCCACAGGATACTGTCAGTACTGAAGTTAAACAGACACAAAAAGCAGTAAGATACATTCAAAAAAAAGCCATCAAGGTCTAATAAAAAGCTACCACCCTTGGCTAGGACAGCCTCCAAGCCATGCTCTCAGAACCTGGAAGACTATCCTGAGAAAACATGATTACATGGTTGATTTATCCTTATATTCTAAATCCCTGCAACGGCCACTGCTGAAGAGAGGATTCCAGACTGGTTGAACCTTTGGTCTGACTCAGTCTTGAATCTGAGTTAACATGCATGGAACTCCACCCTACACAAGTCACCATGGGCCCAGAAATCTTGACCTCATCTTTTATCATTACCTATACACCACATATACAATGAAATACTCCTTTCAGGATTGTAACCACAGTGCCACAAGAGTATAAAACTTATAGCGGATCTAAAGCAGAAGTATTTCAGCTCTAAAGTAAGTTCTACAGCTGGTAAAAATCCTTATACATGCTTAATTCAAGCTATGACACATCTTCACACAGTAGGAGAAGTTTTTAATAAAATTGTATTACTTCATTAATGCCACAACATGGTGAAGGCAGAAATTAAATTGTTCCACCAAGCAGAAGTAATTTAAAGCTTTCCTTATTTTAGCAGGTACCCGAGGTATCTCACCAGACTATAAGAACAGGAATGTCTTTAGGAACAAGACAACTGAATGTCCACGTCAGCAGCACAGCAAACTGGTACAATAATGACTCATGAGACAGCCACACAGTCAGCTTTAGGTTAGTACAGAATATTAAGAAGTTTCCCTAAAAACTTAAACATAAAATAGATCAAAGAAGTAATGGGAATGAATTTGCATGATCTTCAAAGTTCAACAGAGACTGCAGGTTGTTTTAGAGGACTGCTCTATTCACTCTCCCTCAGAGGAGCCTACTTTTTTGTACAACAAAGTATATCAAACATGTAGCTCCATTATAACTTTCTTCCTGGGTATCTACCATGTGGAATTTTTGCTCTCCCTTATCATGACCCTTGCATAAGTACCCATGCCCTCACATGAAAGCTAAGTGACAACACTAATCCTGATACATCCCAGCAGTATTATTCAACTGACCCTGAATATTGCTGCTAGAAAACAGGAATGTTACTGTATATGGCCACTAAGCATCATGTTTCTGAAATACAATTTAAGAAACCCATCCAGTGAAAAATCTTTATTATCAAGTTCATATGAACACAGTTTACTTTGTCAGATTGCAGAAAAAGATAAGTAGGTAGAATTTTCACAGGGTGTAGTACCTCATGGAAACTTCTGACTTTAGTCTAAACCAAGTGAAATGTTGCTTCTGTAGCTTTCAAGAAAATGTATTTTCAACACATCGAGATTATTGTGAAACATCTTAATGGACTAGTAACATCAAAAATTGTGACATCTCAACTTATGTACATTCCTTCTTGAGATTTAGTAGCTTAGTGTGTCTCATCTTTCTTTTCCCCATTCATCCATATTAACCTGAAAACCATAATTTTGACAGCTTCCCACAATGACCAATTAATAAAGGCAGAGCCATTAATGATGGGGATTTTTTGTTAAAAGAAAACAAAATTACAACCAATGTGTTCTTATAATATTATTTATTAAACATAGGGAGCTTATTTTTCCTTCTTACTGAAGAGTCTCACATACAAAGATTTTTCTGATGTTTTCATAGAAATATCTCTCAGAGTACTACATTAATCTCCACAGATAACTCGTATAGCTAGAAAACAGGTAAACAGAAGATGGAGTGAAAGAATAAGCTATTTAAAAAAAAAAATCCTAATTCTTCAAGTACCTCTGAACACCATATTGACAATAGGAAAGCACGAAAAGCACTCTGCCAGAGACTCCACGTGTGCTCGCCAAATGATAGCCTTGTCTGAAACACAGCTGTGAAGGAATTCTGACAGAACAGGTCACAAAATCACCTACAACAGCATAAAAATTTAACTGCTAGACTCTTGCAATTACCAGCTTTTCCCAGCCCTAATTTTTGTGCTCATAGAAAATTAAATGTGGTGTAATTTTACATCTCATTCATTTTCAACTCTACTACTTTTCATAGCTGAAGTAAGCAAAATGCCTGCTTGTAGTTGCATATGGATTTCAGATGTTTGAAACACTATCTCACCATACAGGATTTAATTTTCCTTTAAAAAAACAAAACAAAAAACTCTGTATTTTTCCAAGCTTCCCATAAATTTAAGTTGTTCAGGATTCTAAGATTTGGTTTGTTGGTTTTTTTTCCCCGCTTATCAGCAGCTTTAACTGGTTGTAATATTTTATAAAGGCAGTATTGCCCTCATAATACAGAATGATAAAATAAGGCAAAATGAGACCAAGTTGCATCATAGATAATAAATTGCAACTGGTTTTTCAGGGTTCGCATTTCCCAGTAGAGTCACTTACTACTACAAAATGCTGTCTACAGAGTGGTAATAGGAGACAATTTGCAGCAGAACAAAACACCATGTGAATACATTCTGTGGTAGAGATTTAGAGGAACAATCTCTATGGAAAGACAGTTCCTTTAAAAAAAAGGGAAAAAAAAGTTGGTTATAGGTTTAGAAGGCTGCCATCCATGCTAGAATGAATCATTCTCCCAATGTTTTGGAAATAGTCTACTAACTGTGTATCTTTTAACGTTCAGTCTGTATGAATCCAATCAGGAACCAAGTAAAGAAGCAAACTGCATGCCTGAGTCTTTGACATGATACACCACTGGCTCTAAAACAGGTGGCAGATAATATTTGAGTTGTTCAGCGAGCTCCATCAGCACAAAAGCAAATTCTACGTATCAATTTTACACTTATTTTAAACTATTATTAAAAGAGATCCACCACCCACCCTGTAAGTCACACAGTGAAGTTTTAATTAAAGTGTGTCATTAAGCAAATCATCTAAATATCTCATCTGCTTTCTGTTATTCAAGCTGACAAATCTAATGATGTTAATCAATCACTCCTCATAGTCTCAAAGTACTTGTAACTAGGTTTGGACTTCAACACAAATGTTTAAAAAAACAAGCTGTTCATTAAGACTTGGATCCTTGGATGTACTTGAAAGTTCTGGGAAACCAGTTTCTATTTAGTGTCAAAATACAGACCATATTCCCATTTTTTAAACAAAGTTACAAGCAGAGTATGAAGCTAGAGTCAAATTATTATTTATATATTCTGAGAAGTTCGCAAAAAGTTCAAACTGGTTATAAAAAACAATGTTCAGAATCTGTATCTCTACATTAAAAAAAAAAATCCAACGCACATCACAAATGAAGAAGCATCATTTTTAATTCACATAGCCAGCCACTGGGTCATATTTGCATAGGTCTGCCTACCAGAGAACGTGCTAACTTTTAAACAAAAAAAATTGCTTGTAATTTTAATCAGTACAACAGCTCTAAAGAAAAAAAATGAACAAGGACAGAGATCAGTATATGGAAAGTTCGCAAAACAGCTGTTCAGAGCTGCAGGGATTTATGAACAAGAGGGCCACAGCGAATCCAATTTTAGGTCCTTCACTAAGGATCACGTAGTGATGACGGTCTGACATATCAGCTGAACTCACACACACGGACGGGCTATCTTTGTACCCAGTGAGGATGCCAGATAAACCAGTGCTGCAGAACTTGGCCACGCGCTGAAAATCCGATCACATAAACATATGAACTATTTATCAACACACCAACGCACCGAATTGTGCAATGACAAAAAGAACTGAGGGAAGAAGGAGCTGGAAGTGAAGAGAAATATACTTTAAAAATTGGTATGAATGTATTTTACATTTCAGAGAACAGATACAAATTCACCATCTGCTTCTGGTGAATTCTAGCTCTCCAATCTCAGTTTAATACCCATATTCTGCCAACGACCCCAAAACTACCGGGCCTGTCACCCTGTCTCCTGACGCCTGCCTCCTGACTTGGCTCACAGAGGATTGTCAGATCATCATCCCAATATGGCTGCCCCAGGAATTGTGCTGCACGGAATCCAGGGACAGAGCCACTACCTACAGTCCACAAAAACCACCCTGAAAACCACAGTCCTTCTA